CTTGCAGCGCTTCGTGGAAGGCTTCTTCTTACATCCCACAGGGCTAGAGCTGTTGGTGGATCATGGGAGCACAGATGCTCAGCACTGGACAGTCGAGCAGGTCTGGTACAATGGAAAGTTCTACAAAAGCCTAGAGGAACTGGCTCAGAAGTATGCAGACGGGGAGGTGGATGTGGTGATCCTGGAGGGTCCAACGCCCAGTGCCCCTGGGGCCGAGAGCACAGAGGAGCCACCCCTCTTCTCCTCCTACAAACTCCGTGGAGACTTCCCAACTCCCACCAATGTGAGCGGCCCCCGCCTGGTTCAGCTAAACGGCCCGCGCTACAGGCTGGAGGGCAATGCCGTGCAGTATGGGGGCTGGAGTTTTGCCTTTCGTCTGCGCTCCTCCTCAGGGATACAGATCCTGAATGTGCACTTTGGAGGTGAACGTGTGGCCTATGAGGTCAGCGTGCAAGAGGCCGTGGCGCTATATGGAGGACACACACCTGCAGGCATGCAGACCAAGTACATGGATGTGGGCTGGGGCCTGGGCAGTGTCACTCACGAGTTAGCTCCTGGTATCGACTGCCCAGAGTCTGCCACCTTCCTGGACACTTTCCACTATTACGATGCTGATGATCCTGTCTACTACCCCCGAGCTCTCTGCCTCTTTGAGATGCCCACAGGGGTGCCCCTCCGGAGGCACTTTGACTCCAACTTCAGTGGTGGCTTCAACTTTTATGCAGGGCTAAAGGGCCAGGCACTGGTGCTGCGGACAACATCGACTGTCTACAATTACGATTACATTTGGGACTTCATCTTCTACCCCAATGGGGTGCTGGAAGCCAAGATGCATGCCACCGGCTACGTCCATGCCACCTTCTACACCCCTGAGGGGCTGCGCTATGGCTCACGCCTGCACACCCACCTGCTCGGCAACATCCACACTCACTTGGTGCACTACCGTGTCGACCTGGATGTGGCGGGTAGGACTCATCCAGCCAATAGCACAGAGTCCCACAGGAGGCAAGGCCAAAACTCCTCTGGGAGCAACAAGTCAGGAGCAGTTACCCACATGTAGATCTTAGCCTGGCCCTTGGGCTAGATGGAGGTTTACAGAGAGAACTGAGCAAGAACGTATGCATGGGGTGGAGATGGGGGCAGTGCCCAAGGGGTAGAACATGTCTCTGCTCAAAGCTTTGAAATGCAGTGTGGTTTTGCCTTAGAGGAATGATGTCACCATGAAAGAACAGCATGGCTGTGATGCCAAGTCAGCCTAATGTCAAAAATCACGTGGCCTCAGGCCACCAGGGCCAGAAGGGTGACTTCCACCTGCTCGGCCTCACTCACTGCTCTGGGCCCAGAGCACACTGCCTAGTCTCTCACATCTTCAAAGAGGTGGGCTGTCCCTTCTCTGGGATCGCAGCCACAGCAGATGGGCTTGAGCCCAGCTCTTGAGACACTGTGCAGAGCTGCGATGGAATTGCTACAGCTGCAGTGACAGACCTGTGAGCTGTCTGCTGGCCCCACTGGTTTTGGGGTTTTATACTTCCCCATAGTTAGGCCAGGGTATTATCTTCGTGGTTGATGATTGGCAGTTTAGGGGTCGTACAGAATAAGCAGGGTTCAGTTCTGGAACTTGATGCTCACTCTCCCTCTCCCCACATACCTCCAGGTACCAAGAATAGCTTCCAGACCCTGCACATGGAGCTGGAGAACATCACTGTCCCCTGGAGCCCACAGCACCACCTGGTCCAGCCCACTCTCAAGGAGAAGCAGTACTTCCGGGAGCACCAGGCAGCTTTCCGCTTCGGACAGACTCTGCCCAAGTATCTACTCTTTTCCAGCCCCAAGGAGAATCGCTGGGGCCACAAGCGCAGCTACCGCCTGCAGATCCACTCCATGGCTGACCAAGTGCTGCCCCCAGGCTGGCAAGAGGAGCAAGCTGTCACCTGGGCCAGGTGAGAAGACCCAGAGACGCTGGGGACAGTCAGGGCAGCCCTCAATATCACATGTTTGTCTGTGCTTCTATTTATAAGATGTTGTATATATGTGACTGTGGAGCTGGTTGTGCACATCTGTTTGGGGAGGGGCAATTGAAAATACATGCTGAACACATGGCCCTCAGGTAACAGTGAGTGGTCTGGCTGTTTTGTGGGGGGAAAGCTCTCATCTGGGGGAAGGCAGCCAAAGGTTTCGCCCATCGTTGACCTTGAAGGTGTTCCCCAGGGGAGCTGGGAGGCCTGCCCAACACCAAAAGCCCCCTGGATTCTCCTCGACCTAATAGGTACCCACTGGCCGTGACCAAGTACCGGGAGTCTGAGCATTGCAGCAGCAGCATCTACAACCAGAACGATCCCTGGGATCCCCCTGTGGTCTTTGAGGAGTTTCTACGCAACAATGAGGACATTAATCATGAGGTACTGGCCCTGCCCACCTCTGGCCTCATCACCCTCTGTTCAGTTCTGTCCCCCATCCCAGGAGCAGTGACCTCCTGTGTGGAGGACAAGTACAGAAGTCCCCGCAGATGCACCCATCACTCAAACGTGTGGCTTAGGAGAGTTTGGGGAAGTTTCCAGGAACAACTGCCAATGCCCGAAGGCCAGAGTGGCTTCCACTGGCAGGTGCTCGGCTTCACCCTGCCTTCTGACCCCCTCTCTCTCTTCCCCAGGACCTGGTGGCCTGGGTGACCGTGGGCTTCCTGCATATCCCCCACTCAGAGGACATCCCCAACACATCCACACCTGGGAACTCCGTGGGCTTCCTGCTCCGGCCCTTCAACTTCTTTCCAGAAGACCCTTCCGTGGCATCTAGAGACACTGTGATCGTGTGGCCTCGGGATGAGGGCCCCAACTATGTCCAGCGCTGGCTCCCTGAGGACAAGAGCTGCTCGATGCCCACCCCCTTTTCCTTCAATGGGACTTACAGGCCTGTGTGAAGGGCCCATGCGAGTAGACAGATGGCCTTACAGGATGAACAATAAACCTCAGAGAGCCCAGTGGTGTGTGCTGCTTTCAGGGGGAGGTACAGTGGGCCAGGCCCACATACTGCCCACACATGTGGGACACACACATGCATATGTGAGCACACCTGGTCCACATTCACCTCTTCTCCCACATGCATTCCAGAGAGGAATGCCATGACTCACGCGAAGGCGGCTCGCTAGGATGCTGGATTTGCCTCAGATTGGCTTCTTAAAACCTGGCCCAGCCTCCTATGGAGAGGCCCTAAGGAGTTCTCCTATGTCAGCAGGGGGGTATGCAAACTAGTACAACCCCAAAACTGATGCCATGGGGAACCTGGCAAAACTACCAGCAATGCTGCCCTGCAGCACGCTGACCCTCTCCAGGGGGCTTATCCCTAAGATCTCTCTATAAACACAGGGGAAATGTGTACACAGAGACACGCTGGGTGACAGCCCACGTCCAAGGACAATGAGCTTGGGAAGGACTGGTTGAAGACACTTGTCAAGAAGCGGGGTTAGGTGACTGTAGAAGACATGGGTGAAGGAGAACATGCTATGCACTGACGGGGAGAATCCACAAGATGTGTGAGATAAGAAAAGGGAATGAGTGCAGAGTGATACAGACTGCGAATTTTTGTGTAGGTGGGGAGAGGCTAGTCACGTGGTCTCCAGGTGGAAGATGGGCCTGGGATGATGAGAAGCTGAGTGGGGACAGGGCTTCCCTCTGTGAACCTTTCTACATGGTTGTGAAGGCTCGCATGGTTGTTTAAGTGTTGAGAGTCAGAGAGGGCTGGACACAGGGAAAGCAAGGTGGGAAGGATGGGCTGAGGACCAAGTAGAGTGGCCAGGACAGGACACTGGCAGGTGGAACAAGGAATTCTTCTCCTGCCCCTGGAACTGAGACAGCATCAGGGATCCTGGCCACGGCACCTCTGCAGGAGCAGCATCTCAGAGGGAATTCTAAGCATACTACCTCTCCTCCCCCACCCGAGAGCTATTTGACACTTAAATGCTTTTTATTCTGTTCTCCTCTATTGGTCATTATGGTCACCACTGCACCCACACTGAAGACAGACACCCACATCTCAAAGGGAGGAGTATCAAAAATATTAAACTGTGTTCTAGAACTGTCACTCCCATAACTCTCTTCCTCTAGAATTACGATGGTTCTACTTCTGCTGAAGCTTCAGAAATGTTTCCAGGAGTTCATGCCTTTTGGGGTTTTGTTGTTGTTGCTGTCATCGTCGTTCCAACTTCCCAAGTTATTCACATGTTGGAACAGTGCCTGCAGTCAGCAGGCCACGTTAGACATGCCGTGCTTTCTGCTTCCACGGTAGAGGTGCTTCACTTTAGCCCATAGCACTCATGCTTCCAGCAAAGCTGGTACGCCGTGCCAGTTCCCATGATGAAGCTACTTGATAGTGGTTCTACAGCCAGGCTTGGTGAGCCATCAGCACGCCACAGTGGATTAGCAATCTCAGTTGTAAACTCAGCAGAGAGAAACATCTGTAGCCTGTACTCATCATTTCTGGAGGACATCGCCCGGATCATCAAATAGTCCCTCCAGTAATACATCGGCACAACTCAGCTCTACGCAGTTGCCTTTCACAGCATCACACACTCTCAGCCAAAATGCTTACAACATTCCTGTCCTCCTTTACCTCCGCATGAGCGACCTGATGTTTAGTGAATTGCTGCTACCCTTGCAAGATCTGGGCTGAGTTTTTCTACATGTGTTTCAAGACATTTTCCCCAATAATCTATGCCATGATCCTCATATGGCACCCCAACATCACCAGGGAGCCTCTCCCAAAATGAAAACCTCTCTCCAAGGAATGAAATTACAAGCGCAGACCAAGATGCTTCTGAGTTCCCAGTAGCTGTTCTGACCTATCTACACACTGAAAGGCCGTACAGAGGTGGCTTAAAGAACAGGCCCAAGAACCCCTAGACCTCTGCTGCCACCTGCACATATGGTCTCTGTGACTCTGCTGTCTGTCCTTGTGTAAGGACTCCAATCACAGCATCAGTGCCCACCCTAATCCATATGACCTCATCATTTAAAACAAAGAAATCACTTACTAGGATGATACGGAAAAGATTAGCATGGCCTCTGTGCAAGGACGACATGCAAATCGGTGAAGCGTTCCATTTTGGTACAAAGGTTTTTTACAGGAAGATGGGTAGCCAGAAGGTCACAGGTGTTGCCTTTGCAAACACTTCCTGTGTTTTTTGACAAGAAATAAAATACATTATTAAAAAATTTGTTTGCTTATTTGAAAGACAGAGTTACAAATACAGTGGAAGAGAGAAAGATTTTCCACCTGCTGATGCAGTACCCAGATGGCCTCAACAATTGGGCTGGCCCAGACCAAAGCCAAGAGACAGAGGCTTCTTCCACATGAGCGGCAGGGGTCCAAGACTTTGGACCATCTTCCACTGCTTTCCCCCCACGTGGTTAACAGAGAGCTCTGTTGGAAGTGGAGCAATCGGAATTCAAGTTGGCATCCATATGGGATGCCAGTGTTGCAGGCAGTGGCTTTACACAACAAAGCCAGCCCCGTGACCTCATCTTCAGTTGGTTCTTCTCACAAAACACAGACCCTACTTCCAAATAAAGCCACATTTATGGGATTCTGAAGATTTTTTTTTTTTAGATCAAAACATCCCACAATGCAAATGTTTCCCCTCTCTCTCAGTTGCAGGGAAGTAAATGGACACAGAAGTCTGCGTAGTCTCTCCAGGACTGAGAACAACCAGTTCTCAAGTCTTTGGCCTCATGGAAACTATGAGGGATACTCCTCAAACTTGATTCTATTTTCCTTCTGTTTTACTTGCTGCAGAGACTAGAAAGATAAAACTGCATTCCCTAGATGCCTTAACAGGCAGAGTCGGAGTAGAATCACTTTCCATCCATTAGAAACATTTAAGTAAGATTTGGAAGCTGTCTTCCTGCCCTTGCCAACATTTTACTTGGCAGGTGCAGTCAGGGAATGGTGACAGTGTTTCCTTCCCCAGCCTCCTGCTTTTAGATGGTAGGACAGGCCAAGCATCCCCATGAACACATGTGTGGAGCTGCAAATAAATAAATCTTAAAAAAAAAAAATAGCTAACTCAACACAGATCAAAGACCAAAAATAACAGCTAAAACTCTTCTAGCAAAATGCAAGTGTAACTCTTTACAATCCAGGAGTAAGCAATGGCTTCTAAGCTAAGGCACCCAAAGCACATGCAACTAAAGAAACAAAAAAAGATGAGGGAGAGCTTCATCAAGATTTAAAAACCCTTATACTTCAAACGATCCCAGCGACAAAACGAGACAACTCACAGAAGGGAAAGGATATCAGCAAATCATATTTGATAAGGATCCTACAGCTTGAATGAAAAACTTTCACAACTCAGCAAAAATATGTATATAAATAATTTGATTTTTAAAACCACAAAGGGGGCCCGATGTGATGGCCTAGCAGCTAAAATCCTCGCCTTGAACCCGCCAGGATCCCATATGGGCGCCAGTTCTAATCCCGGAGGCCCCACTTCCCATCCAGGTCATTGACTGTGACCTGGGAAAGCAGTGGAGGACGGCCCAAAGCCTTGGGACCCTGCACCCACGTGGAGAGACCTGGAGGAAGTTCCTGGATCCTGACTTCGGATCGGCACAGCACCAGCCGTTGCACTCACTTGCGGAGTGAATCATCGGATGGAAGATCTTCCTCTCTGTCTCTCCTCCTCTCTGTATATCTGCCTTTGCAATAAAAATAAATTAATCTTTTTAAAATGATATAGATTAGCAAAATAATATTTAATAAGTTGAAACTTATAAACTTCCACACTTAACAAACAATGGTACAAAAATATTTCTGTGACCCAAAAGTGAAAGTTTATTTTAAAAAGACCTGGCGAGTATAAGCCACACAGTGAGACAGTATGGGTTTCATTTCATCAAGATTGTAGGTGTCCATTCAACAAAGGAAACGACACATCGAGTTGATGGCTATTGCAAATAAACAAAAGGTTAGTGATTCAAATATGAAATCAATTTCTGCAGATCTATAGGAGAAAGATAGGAACCTATTGTAGACATGGCAAAATGTGCAAGTAAGTAATTAATATGCAGACCCAAATTGATAACAAACACATATCAAGAGATGCTCCAAATCAGAAAATTAGGGAACAGAGTTACCAGATGAAAGCATGGTGCTGGGAGCACAGACACGCGTTTCATGCTGTTGGAAATAGAGCCTGACGTGGCCCTTTGGTGACACGGTCTGAATGTTCCTGGTGAGGCCGAGTGCACACACGAGCACATCCCATGACTCAAAAAGCCCCTGCAGAGCAGACGCAATCCAAAGAAACCTCATCCAGGACTATCAGGGAACGCGGCGTGCTCATCGTGGTGTTTGTCATGGCAGTGGGAGTAGGAGGCAAATTCTGTTTCCATCATTCGAGGAACGGGTGAGTCAAAGGAACTGAATGCACACCACCAAGGACTGAGCAGCGTGCTGTGCCCACCGGGTGCTCCCGGAAGCAGATACTGGGATGCAGGCAGGTTTGTTTGCTGAGGAGATAACACCTGAGCCCAGAATGACCAAGAAGCAAGACTAAGCATGGGAAGCCGCAGACCCGTAGCCCAGACCAGGCACCTCTGATAGGGGTGTCCATGGGGGGTGGCAGGAATGGCATGGCCCTTGAACTGCCACTCTGCTCAGTCGTTGCCTGGGGTCATCCAGAAAAAAACTGACACAGGCCCTGAAGAAGCTGACAGAGGGATGCATCAGCATGCTGAGCTTGAACACACACACACACACACACACACACACACACACACACACACACACGCACACACCATTAGGGAGATACAAATGAAAGCCACTATGAGCTCTCACTACACATGAATTCAAAAGCCTAAATTAAACCATTGTGATAATGACCGTTGATGAGGGTGCAGAGAAACTGGATGTCTCATCCATTACTGATGTAAATACAAAATAGTTGGCCAGTTTCTTCTAAAATTAAACTTCCACTTTCCACAAGACCCCACAAATCACACTCTGGGCATTTATCCCAAAGAATTGAAAATTGTATTCCTACAAAAGCCTGTATACTAATGTTCTCAGCAGCTTTAAGCATCCTAGCTGACTAAGAGCAACCCAGGTACTCCATGGAGGCTACATGGTCAAGCAAACGGACACAGGAGAAAGCTCTTGGTAATAAGGAGGAACGAAAGGGCAGGCTGCTCCCTCCTACTAGGCGCTGCTTGGAAGGCCTGTGTCCCAGATCCAAGAACCTGGGTGCAAGTCCAGGGCCTGGTCTCCATCCCAGCTTCCTGTTAAAACACACCCAGGGAGGTAAGCAGGTGATGGCTTGAGCAATTAGGTCTCTGCCACCTACCTGGAGGATGTAGACCAAGTTCCTGCTGCCTTGCCCTGGCCTGGCCCAGTCCCAGCTGTTACGGGAAATTGAGGAGTAAATCATCAGACAGAAAATGAGTGTGTGTGTGTGTGTGTGTGTGTGTGTGTGTGTGTGTGTGTGTGTGTGCGCGCGCGCGTACCTTTCAAATATACAAAGAAAATTAAGAAAACAGGAATGAACTGCTGACATACACAACAGCTGCAGTGACCACTGCGAAGCACTCTGCTCAGTGGAGAGGTTAATCTCAACTTGAAACATCTCCACATTCTGAAAATGGAAAAAGTACAGGAAAGTGAAGAGAAGATGGGGCTGGTGTGGCAGGACGTATGGGAATGAAAACGAGGAGCAGGAAGAAATTTCTTGGCAGGAATGAAGCAATCTCCCTTGAGGCAGCGGTTACACAAATCTACGCTGGAGATCAAATTGCACAGAATTGTGCAGAGGAAGAGAAATGAATGCAGTTTTTAACATGGTGACAACGGGGTGACTTGTCTAGTTCATGGAATTGTGGTTTGCTGGTTTTACGTGGTACTCCAGCGACATGTCTTGAGGGTGGCACTGTGGTATGCTAGGTTAAACCACTGCCTTCAATGCTAGCACCCCCATATGAACACAGTTGGTGTCCCAGCTACTCCACTTCCAATCTAGCACCCTGTTAAATTCCTGAGAAAGCAGAGAAAAGATGGCCCAAGTACTTGGGCCGCTGCATCCATGCAAAGGACCTGGGAGGAGTTCCAGGCTCCTGGCTTCAGTCTGGCCCAGCCCTAGCCACTAGGACCATTTGAGTAGTGAACCAGCAGATGGAAGATCTCTCTACATATCTATCTATCTCACCTTATTTCTCTGTAATTCTGCCTTCCAAACAAAACAAATCATAAAAAAAGACTTATCTTAGTCCATTCAAAACTTATTATGTCCCATCAGCGGGAGAAGTGTATTGCTCACAGCTCTCGGGTCTAGAAGTCCAAGACTAAATCAGCATCGGGTTCAATGTCCGGGAGGGCCCACTTCCTGGTTCATGGACTAACCACCTCCCTACCATGAAAGAAAGAGATAAGAAAGGGCCCTGTTTTAAACTCTCAAATTTCACATGAATATATACAAATAGGGGCTGATGCTGTGGGACAGCCGCATCTTCATTCTGGCATCCCAAACTGGAGTGCTGCTTCAGGTCTCCAAGCAAATCATCTCCACTTCTATTCCAGCTCCTTGCTAACGTTCCCCGGGAAAGCAGCGAAAGATGGGTCTAAGTGCTTGGGTCACTGCAGGCGCGCGGGGGATCTAAGTGGGGCTCCTGGCTCCTGACTTCAGCCTGGCTGTCACGGCCATGGGATCTGGGGGGAGGGGCGGGCACTAGTAAACAAGAGACCTCGCTCTCACACTGTTTCTTTCTCACTGTCCCAACCACTCCCTAATTGTTCTTTCAATTAAATACATAAATTTTAGGCGGGGCGGGAGGGGGGGAATGCATACAGCTACAAAATCAGATAACCATTCAGACTTTATAAGAATACATAGAAAAGCAAAGTCATGGACCAGATTTTAGAAGAAAAGCTGTTGCTGCTCTTTCTGCCCTTAATTTTTCCATCAGTTCATCTCCTTTCATTTACCAGTTTCCCTGGAACGGCACCCCCCAAAAAAACAAGGCGCCTTCCCGCAGCGTCTGCACGCTAGGTGGCGCCGCTGCGCCCCACATCTGCAGTTCCTGCAAGTCATGAACCTCCTAGGTCCCTGCTGTTGGCACAG